ATACATATGTTGGTCCCCATCACAGACCTACTGAATTAGAATCTCTGAGACTAGAGTTTCTTTTTATTGTTTTTACTTTTTTGTTTTAAATAATTTTATGGAGATAAAATTTGCATAGAATGAAATGCATAGATCTTAAGTATTCAATTCAGTGAATTCTGACAACAATATACATTTGGTAACCACCATCCAAAACAAGATATAGAACATTTCTATCATCTTCAAATTCCCTGGTGTCCAGTCTACTCCAGCATACTAGAGGCAACCATTCTGATTTATATCACTATAACTGAGTTTAGGGATGCTAGGATCTTTAAAAATATAGGTAAGTGGAATGAACCAACATGGACAAATCTCAAAAATTAGTAGCAAAAAAAAAACAAGTTGCAGACAAACACAAGAAAATTATTTCATTTCTATAAATCATATACTACTTAAAACAATGACAATTATTTTTTGGAGATATATATGCATGTGGTAAAAACACAAAGATGTACATGGGAATGATCATCATTAATTTCAGGATAGAGGCTGCCTTTGATAGAGTAGAAATGACTAAGAATGGGGAGGAGCACTCAAGAGTTTTAACATAGTAATATTTTATTTCTTAAGGTGAGTGGGGGTACATGGGTGCTCTTTTTATGTGTATCTTTATTTTTTATCTTTATTGTTGAAAGTATTACAGATGTTCCACTCCCCCCCCCACTGACACTCTCCTCCCCACTCTACTCCCTCCCCCGCATCTTCATTGCACTGTCTGTGTCCATTGTTTATACATATATATATATAAGTATATATACATATATTTGGTTTAATCTCTTCCTGCCCCCTACCCTCCTTCCCTCTGAGGTTTGTCAGTCTGTTCCCTACTTCCATGTCTCTGGATCTATTTTGTTCATCAGTTTAATTTGTTCATTAGATTCCACAAATAAGTGAGATCATATGATACTTGTTTTCCTCTGACTGGCTTATTTTGCTTAGCATAATACTCTCCAGGTCCCTCCATGTTGTCTCAAAGGGTAAGAGATCTTTCTTTTTTACAGCTACATAGTATTCCATTGTGTAAATGTACAACAGCTTTTATATCCACTCATTTATTGATGGACACTTGGGCTGCTTCCTTATCTTAACTATTGTAAATAGCGCTGCTATGAACATAGGTAGGGGTGCATATATTCTTTCTGATTGGTGTTTCAGGCTTCCTAGGGTATATTCCTAGAAGGGGATCACTGGGTCAAATGGCAGTTCAATTTTTAACTTTTTGAGGAAACACCATATTGTTTTCCATAGTGGCTGCACCAGTCTGCATTCCCACCAGCAGTGTGCTAGAGTCCCCTTTTCTTCACACCGTCGCCAGCACTTGTTTGATGATCAATTAATATTTGACAAAGGAGTTAAGATCATACAATGGAGTAAAGACATTTTCTTCAATAAATGGTGTTGGGAAAATTGGACAGGTACATGCAAAAAATGAAACTAGATTACCAACTTACACCACACACAAGAATAAACTAAAAATGGATAAAAGACTTAAATGTAACTTGTGAAACCATAAAAATCCTAGAAGAAAATGTAGGCAGCAAAATCTCAGACATAGCCCTGGCCAGTTTGGCTCACTGGTTAGAGCGTCGGCCTGCAGTCCGGAGATACCCGGGTTCGGTTCCCGCTAAGGACATGTACCTTGGTTGCAGTTGTCCCTGGCCCTGGTTGGGGTCGTGTGGGTGGCAACCACTCGATGTGTCCCTTTCACATCAATGTTTCTCTCTCTCTTCCTCCCACTCTATCTGAACAAAATATTGAAAAATGTCCTTGGGTGAGGATAAAAAAATTTAAAAAATCTCAGACATCACACGTAGCAGAAATTTCACTGATACCTTGCCAAGGGCAAGAGAAACAAAGGAAAAAATTAATAAATGAGACTACATCAAACTAAAAGGCTTCTGCACAGCAAAAGAAACCAGCATCAAAATGAAAAGGGAACCCATTGTATGGGAGAACATATTTGCCAATGATACATTGAATAAGGGATTAATTTCCAAAATATGTAAAGTACTCATACAACTTAACAACAGGAAGACAAACAATCCAATTAAAAATGGGCAGAGGCCTGGCGGGTTTGGCTCAGCGGTTAGAGTGTCAGCCTGCAGTCCAGAGAGACCTGGGTTTGGTTCCCGCTAAGGGCATGTACCTCAGTTGCAGTTTGTCCCCGGCCCTGGTTGGTCGTGTGGGTGGCAGCCACTCTATGTGTTCCTTTCATGTCAATGTTTCTCTCTCTCTCTCTCTCTCTCTCTCTCTCTCTCTCTCTCTCTCTCTCTCTCTCTTCCTCTCTCTCCTTCTCACTCTATCTGGACAAAAAAATGGAAAAATGTCCTCAGATGAGGATAAAAAAAATAAAAAGGGGCAGAAGACCTGAATAGACACTTCTCCAAAGAGGACATACAAATAGTGAAGAGACATCTGAAAAAATGCTTATAGTCACTAATCATCAGAGAGATGCAAATTAAAATGACTACGTCTGCAATATTTTATAATTAATTAAAACTTTATAGGGGATTTTATAGTTTTAACAATTATGTAAGTAAATGTATTTCAAAAATCAGAATTGATGTGCCATCATCTATTCAAGGAGCACTTTTAACCTCTATTTTGGTCTTTACCTTATAGTCTACTACCATCTATTAAGTACATTTACTCCATGAAGGCACAGATAGTGTTCTATTTAATCTTTTAGTCCTCTGAATACCTGGTGTTATATGCATGACACACATAGACAAGGAACAATGTAAAAGAATAGAAGAATCTAAACATTGCTAATTGTTTCACATTTGCAAGTTTTTTATCACCCTTCAATTTTTAAAGGCCTCTTGATGATACATATGGTCTTTGGGTCCAAAAGAAAAACTGCATTCCCAAGGGCCTAGTAATACTCATTCCATCTCAATCTGGTTATATCACCAATATAACATTTAATATATTAGAAAAGGAGAAAGATAGTTGATAATAAGAAAAAAAAAGAAGATAAAAGATTCTTGTTTGAAATATACAGACTTAGTTCCAGGAAAATCCTTGAGAATTATTCAGCATGGTAATTACTAAGCAGTACAGAAAAGCATCATTTAATCATGTCAGGGAAGGCATTCAGGGAAGTTCACACATGAGTTGAGTCTTGAAGGTCTCTCTGTGTCTTTTGTACATGCCTCTTTATAGTATTTTTTGCATTGTACCTGCTTACAAATCGGCCCTTAATTAGACTATAAATACCTAATGGTAGAGTTAGAATCTTCCACATTTTTGTTTCTCCTGAATGCAGTACAGGCACACATTGTTTTATTGCACTTTGCTTTATTGTGCTTCATAGATGTTGTATTAAAAATTTTTTTTAAATATGTTTTTATTGTTTTTTTCTAGAGATATAGGAAGGGAGAGAGAGAAAGAAACATGGATCTGCAGGAATCGAGCCCGCAACCTGGGTATGTGCATGATGGGGAATCCAACAGGCTACCTTTCAGTGCATGGGACGACTCTCAACCAACTGAGCCACACAGGCCGGGGCAGATGTTACTTTTTTTTTTTTTTTTTTTACAAATTGAAGTCAAGACCCTCCACCAGCAAAAAGATTATGCCTCACTTTTTACTGTAGTCTGGAACCAAACCCTCAGTATCTCCAAGGTATGCCTGTAGATAGCATTACCCAACAAACATTGGAATAAGAACAAGAAAGCAAGCCCTGGCCAGTTTGGCTTAGCGGTTAGAGCGCTGGCCTGCGGTCCGGAGAGACCCAGGTTCGGTTCCCGCTAAGGGCATGTACCTTGGTTGCAGTTCGTCCCCGGCCCTGGTTGGTCGTGTGGGTGGCAGCCACTCAATGTGTTCCTTTCACATCGATGTTTCTCTCTCTCTCTCTCTTCCTCTCTCTCCCTCCCACTCTATCTGTACAAAAAATGGAAAAATGTCCTCAGGTGAGGATAAAAAAAAAAAAAGAACAAGAAAGCAAGAAAAGTAATGGAGAGGAGGAGAAAAGTAGATTTGTTTGGCACATGGCAGGGAAGAAAGGAAACAAATATGCAGAAAGAAGATTAAAGGAAAGAAAGTAAAGGTAAGGGGTATTAATTAGGATTAGGTTCAGCTATAACAGACAGAAAACCAAAATGGCTTATAGAAAGAGAAGTTTATTTTTCTCTTAAATAAAAAAAGTCATGGAAGGGAGTTGGTATTCCAGGGCTCATAAGGGCTTCGCAAATTCTTTTTTTTTTTTTTTTCATCCTCACCCGAGGACACTTTTCCCTTTTTTTTGTTCAGGTAGAGTGGGAGGGAGAGAGAGGAACAGAGAGAGAGAGAGAAACATCGATGTGAAAGGAACACATCGAGTGGCTGTCACCCGCACAACCAACCAGGGCCGGGGACAAACTGCAACCGATGTACGCGCCCTTAGCGGGAACCGAACCCGGGTCTCTCAGGACCGCAGGCCGACGCTCTGACCGCTGAACCAAACAGGCCAGGGCCGCAAATTCTTTTCATTGTTACTTCTTAAATGTGCTTTTATTGATTTTTTAGAGAGAGAGAAAGAGAAAGAGTGATAGAAACATCAATGTGAGAAACATCGATTGGCTGCCTCATGGACACCCCCTACTGGGGATCAAGCCCACAACCCAGACATGTACCCTGATTGGAAATCTGACCGGGACCTTTCAGTCCATGGGACAATGCTCAATTCACTGAGCCACACCGGATGGGCGTGTTTATGTACAATTTTAACCAAAAACTATAGTATATATTGTTCAGGGCTATATATCTATATTAGATTGAACAAAATGAAATTGTTTATTTTATAGTTCAAAATGCTCAAATATTAAAACTTTGTATATGTGCTGCTGAAGTGAGACAAAACTTTGTATAGTTAAACCTAATGGTAAAATTCAAATACATGCAAGGATGTTCTTTGCAAGGGTACTTGACGCGAAGTTCCAGCAACAAGCAGCTGCAGTTGGTGCAGTTCCGTCTTCAGTTTCACGATGTTTCCATTGGCCAAAAATGCACCAATTCATCTCCCAATTCGAAGCATTCAGCAAATAATGTCAAGGCAGATCCACCAGAAACAGGCACCTGATTTCCATGACAAATATGGCAATGCTGCATTAGCTAGTGGAGCCACTTTCTGTATTGCTGCATGGACATATACAGCAATGCAAATTGGAATAGAATGGAACCTGTCGCCTGTTGGCAGAGTCACCCCAAAGGAATGGAGAGATTAGTAATCATCCCAGCTGGAGTAATAAAGAATTGTTTCAGCCCTGGCTGGTTTGGCTCAGCGGTTAGAGCGTTGGCCTGTGATCCAGAGAGTCCTGGGTTCGGTTCCTGCTAGGGGTATGTACCTCGGTTGCAGTCTGTCCCCAGCCCCGGTTGGTGTCATGTGGGTGGCAACCAGTCAATGTGTCTCTCTCACATTGATGTTTCTCTCTCTGTCTTCCTCCCCTCTCCCTCCTGCTCTATCTGAAGATAAATGCAAAACTGTCCTTAAATGAGGACAAAAAAAAAAAAAAAGAATTGTTTCAAAACCACCTCATAATTGATGCCAAGTGAAAGCAACGTGTACCCATTAAAATATAGCATGATTGGAGAAATAAAATACATTTGAAACCTTCAAAACAACAACAACAACAAAAAAAAAACAAATACATGCAAGGATAGTAATGATATGCATCAATTTTAGAATAGCTGCCTCAGGGAAGGGATACAGAAGAAATGGGAATGAGGTTTTTGGTGGATCTATAACAGGAAGCATGCTTAGAAAAACTGAGAAGTTTACTTGCAAAAGATAGAGAAGCGGGACCTGAGCTGGGAGATGGAGTTAAGATGGAGTTTCAGTTGTTTGTTTTTTATGTTGGGAAAGACTATAACTTACCTGAATATTGAAGGAAAATATCCAGTAGAGGGAAGTTTAATATCCAGTAAGAAAAATAGTAACTAGTCCAAATGTAAGGTGAAAAATCATCAGAGTGGGAATAATTGAGGAGGTAAGATAGAAAAATTGCAGGTTATGGTTAATGACTAGTGAAATACTAAATACACAGATGAACAATGGGCAAACCATACATAACAAGAGAACTTTAACCACACCCTCTGCAGCGGTGGGCATGGAATGATCAGGATTGGCCAATGACTGCCAGTTGCCATTTATTTATTTATTTGTTTGTTTATTTATGGCCCTCCCTTCTAACTCAGAACAGGAGAAAGCCAAATGTGTCCCTAACCATATAAATATAACATACTTCATTTGTAGTTTGCTTGCCTCCTGTTCCCCTGTGGCAACCACCACCAGAGCATACCTAAAACCTTTTTTTTTTTGGTACTATAGAGCTTTACTGTTTGCCTTTGAGTCTTTGCCAAAAGCAAACGATGGTGGCTGCTCCTTTGCTATAGCAAGCTCTGAATAAATAGCCTCTCTTTTTTTCTCACTGGGGTGATCTTCATTCATTTCCTTAGTAGAAAGGTTGAATTCATGGTTTTGAAGGTAGACTTGTGACCTTCTGAGTGAGAAGCTGACGTAGAGTGAAGAAGTCTGTTGGAAGATGGGGACGTTAAGAAACTGCAAAGAAAGTTTGGATGGATTGTCTTTGTAGATGTTAAAACCCAGTAAGTTGGCTGGCTTCAGAGAATATGACTGTGGTCCAAAGTGCTAAAGTCTTCAATAAATGAGGGCAAATGCCTAGGAAGTCATAGTAGCAAGAAACAGACTGGGGTCGGGTAGGGATCTAATAATGTCTTCATACTACCTTTAAGGTTGTACTTTAAATCTTCCCTTAAAGAAGTGCCAGTAGACTGAGGATCAACAATGAGAAAGAGTAACGGTCTCTGTCCTGTAGTTAGTGGGGGAGGCAGATGTTGGAGTAGATGTGTTAAATTCTGTATTGGGGATAAGAGTGCCATGGAAGCTCCACAGCCTAGTCAACATTCTGAGGGAGGGGTAGTCCAAGCTTTCTTGGAGACAGAAAATCCTGTGTCCTGAAGGATGCGTAGGAAAGCACAGGCACAGAGAGGGTTTCATTGCTTTAATTTTATTTCTGTTCCAAAACTCTACCGTCTTAATTACTACAGTTTTATAGAGGATGTGATAAGACAAGTTCCTTCATGTTATTACTCTTCACATTATTTTGGCTCTTAAGAGCATTCTTTTCCATATGAATTTCAAAATCAGCTTGTCAAATTTCATGAAAATCTCGGATAGGATTTTGGTTGGGACTGCATAGAACTTATACCTCTTGCCTCTTATTGAATTCTTCTTATACATGCTTTAAGTGGCCGCTTTACATTTTACCTTCCTCCTGAATGCTTCCTGACTTCCCAGATAAAGTTAAATTTCTTTGCTATATATTTCCACAGCACCCTGTACTTCCTGTTAAGTAACACAGATCAGACTTACAATTCTTTACTCAAAGGCTGTCTTCTGGGCTGGAGAGTTTACGGGAAACACGCCTGTCTGGTTCACCACAATATTCTCCAGCACACAGTCTAAAACAGTGTATGTGGAAGACGTACTTTTCTTTTTTATTTAAATTAAAAAATTTAAGGGGTATTAGCTGGTAGGGGTTGAAGGGCTGAGGGTGTGAATCTTCATCAAGTAATATATGAGAGGAATAATCAGTGGAGTGAGATCCCTGTAAAGGGATTGGCCTCATGTAAGGAGAGGAATGCCTTGTCTAAGAAGAGAAAGATCAAAGAATGGTTACTGGGCGAGAGTTAATAGAGTTCTGGTATTATTTTCTATTACCCTGGTCTCTTATTATTTCTAGTAATCTTCCATTATTACTATTTTTCTTTTCCTTCTAAAGTTAAAGATGAGGGAGTTTGGTACTAGTGAGGGAGAGGCAATAGGGTTGGGGAGTCAAAAGAGTAGGGAAGATCTATGACCTATGAAGAATGGGTGTGTGAACCGAAGAGGGGAGACAAATGTTGAGGGCCCAGTGGAAACTGGAGACCATGGAACTGGAATTCCTGGTGGTCCCCATCACACTAATGTGTACAGTATGGTTTTCTCCTGGTGTGCACAGCAGCACAGGACCACATATAGATAATATAAACCATTGGATTGATCCGAGACTGGGATTTTTGCCAGACTGGTTGGTGCCAGAGAATTTCAATTGAGTCAGTGAGTTCAAAATTTTGGCTAAAAGTGGTCAATACGATAAACCACAGAAAATTGTATTCAGCAGAATTGGGGAGGGAGTGTGAAAGGAGTACAATTCTCTGAAGTAAAAGCAGTTTGACCAGGAGACAGACAACCTCTCAGGGTTTGCCAGTGGGTGGGAGAGGGGAAAGAATGAGGCAAACCCAGGAAGAGAATGAAGGGAGAGTCCAAAGGGAGACAGAGAAAGAGAGAGAAGAAGTAAGCGAGGGAGGGAAGGAGAGAGAGACTAAGAGGGCATTTATCTGGTTTGTGACAGCATTCCGTTCCAGGTCACCTGGCTATATTTCCATCCCGTGGGTTCAAAAGAATCCTCTGTAATCCTTATAGTGAATTTTCTTTTTTGGCTGAAGGGAGTTGGAACAATTTTTATTTCAAAGTAGTCTTAATCAAGACAAGAAAATGTAATATAGACTCTTGTAATTCTCATTTCATGCATTTGTCTTGTTTGGGGGGGTTGGGGAGTAACAGTAGAGCCAAAGCTGATCAGATTCTCAGGCATTTAGGGCACTTCTGTTAAAACCATCTATCAGGCATTTGTATGAGGCTCAGACCTCTGGCAGATGACTTTGGGGCCTCTGGTGCTTGGAGTCATCAGCACGTTTTCCAAGGATCCCTGGCTCTTTGCCTCACTGACCTTGTTCAGAAGCAGCCAGAACTTCATTCCTGGAGCTGCTGGGGTAGAAAAGTAGCTTCTTTGATTGGCTAAGGATCTTGTCCTAGGTAGAGGGGAATGTGAGCTATCTTCAAGATCTTTCCCCACTTGTTTCTTATTGCACAAGAGTCAAGTCACTCTTGAGGTAGGTCAACATTGCCCATCATCTGTCTCTTTCCAGGCCTGTACCACTTCGCCATCATGGTATTACTGACCCTTGTGTCTTTCTTCCAAAGCCATCCAGACAGAAGTTTACACGAGGCTCAGGGTTTACCTTCTGTTTCCTACTTCACACTGACAATACAAAATACTCATAATGTGGGGTTCTGAGGCTGCCTGTTTTTTGATTGATATTTCTACAAGGAATGTTTGTTTCCCACAACAGTAATGCACAAGCCACTTTCATTCTTTTCTCAATTCCTCCTTTCAATTTAACAAGCTGATCTCAGAGCAGGTTCTGTAATGAGTCCCTGATGTACAGAAAAGACTGTAATGTTATTAATTTAAATTCCATCAAGTGATACGTCAGTTTATTTATTTACTTTGAAAATATTTTTATTGATTTTTAGAGAGAGAGGAAAGGAGAGGGAGACAGAAAAAGTAACATCGATGTGAGAGCGGAACATTGGTCCACTGCATCCTGCACTCACCCCACCAGGGGATCAAACCTGAAACTCAGTCATGTGCCCCAACCGGGAATTGAACCTTCAGCTTCTCGGTATAGGTATGATGCTCAACGAACTGAGCCACACACCAGTCAGGGCTGTCATAATATATTTAACCATTCCCCTCTTGTTGGACATTTAGATTGTTTTCAAATTTTGATTTTATATCTAATTGCTAGAAATGATCTCTATGTATAAAAGTTTTTCTTATTGAGAAAAATATGGGATTCTTCCTTAATTTTTCAGTTTCAATACCACAAGCATGCAATATTGGTTGCTGCAGAGCCTAGAAATATAGAATAATTATAGGTATCCCCTAGCTCTCTTTATCCCTTTGCTAAATTTTCTTTGAACCTTTGACCAGGTTCAAAGAACCTCCTGTTAAATTCCCATGAATTGTATTTTTTAAAATTTTTATTAATTTGTTTTTGTTACAGATGTTTCTCCTTTTCCCCTCATTGACATCCTCCTCCCCATCCCCCCACCCCATCCCCAGCTTTGTTGTCTGTGTCCATTGGCTATGCATACATGATTATAAGTTCTGTGGTTTATTCCCCGCGCCCCCCTCTCCCCCCCCCCCCCGCCGTTCCTACTCTGAGGCTTGTCAGTCTGTACCCCACCTCTATGTCTTTGGGTCAATTTTGTTCATTAGTTTGTTTAGTTCATTATATTCCACAAATAAGTGAGATCATGTGATATTTGTCTTTCTCTGCTTGGCTTGTTTTGCTTAGCATAATACTCTCCAGGTCC